GACGTCACAGCATGCATTTTAAATCGATCTCCAATAATTTCTATTCGAAAAGATGTCGAGGTGGCAGTTTTTGATCATTCGTTGTCTGGGGCGCTCACCTGGAACAGCTGAACAAATGCCAGTAGGTCAAACATTGCGCAGTGAAGTCAAAACTTCTTACAAAGTCACGCTGAAATTCTTCCAATACGCACGTGGAAGGCGACATAAGTGACGTTGAGGTGCAATATGTGACGCCATTAAGGCACGCTGTCACGTTCATTTTCTACGAAGGGATGGGAGGGTATTGCAGACATCGCTCTCTTTCCTTTTTTCCTGTCCAATAATACGTCTCTTCTATAACAGGAATTTGTTTTATTGTTGCAATTTAATTATTTTACGATTATTATTAACTAACCAGTGGGCAAGACCGCTAGATAAGCGGGCTGCGTCAAAGCAAAATTTATAAATTCTATGTATACCGAAAATGTATAAACATTTTAATATGAATGAAATGAGTTCATTCTTTGCCAGCACCAATCAATTCTTAAATAATACTTTTGTTGCCAAAACAGGAAACAAAAACTTTTGACCTTTCAGGTTAATACGTATGACGTCATGATTTAAATTTATTGTAATATAACAACTATTTCTCAATATCAATAAAAGAATTAACGTGACAATAACATAACGCGTCAATTATTCTAACTTAAAAGAAAAAATCTGATGTGTACGCCGCAACATTTCCTTGTACGGAATATCAAATTATGCGCATTTCCCCCTCATTTCATTTAAACTTACTCGAATTTGATTAGAGGTATATTTCTCATTCTATTAGTTCAGTTCTCACTTCCCAACAAGGCAAAAATATATACAAATTCAAAATGTCTTCATTAAAAATTGAAAGCTATAGAGAAACATAAAACACCAAATACAGATAAAACAATTAAAAATCACTTTTTACAATTAGAATTACAGTTTCTGCGCAAAAACAAGCAATTCGGCCAGCATACAGATTTTTCAGTGCACAAAACTAAAAGTTTCCTTTTGGTCCCATTCCGGCAAAAAGACACTGACGATGCAGAAAGACTTAATTCACTATTACGCTAAGTTCCAAATGTAAGCAAATATAGCTGCAATCGAAAAAAAATTAGCCTAGCCGCACTTAAACAATTTTTAAATTGTTGATAAGTCTACAACTACTGCATGAAGATTAACTAAATTCATAAAAACTTTCACCGAAGGATAAGAATAACATAATTCAATCATTTTTAAAGCAAAAAATGCACAATTCAACAACATATAATAATAATAATAATAATAAAAAACTGAGCTCACTAAGCTGAGTAACAAAAGTGGGTATGTATATATATATATATAACACACTCTGTTACGCATTCTTTCTATATATATACATACTTTTGGTGCGGCCGATTGCAATCAAAATAGGAGGTGCACAACTACATTTTATAGCAGTCCTATATAGTACAAAATTTCAACGCTCTGAGGTTACTCGTGTTTTGAGTTATGCGAGATACTATGTACGTACGTAGGGACGTACAGTCGCCACGGAAAAAAATCTCTTCTGATTCCATTTTAAATCAGTTTTATAATTCGTTTTGTGAAAGACAATCTTTTATTCTGTCCTTACGTACAGATGTCACGTAAAACATCCTTAAATTGCATTCGATAGCGGTCAAAATGGATATTTTCGTTGAGATGTGATACCTGGAATTTTTCGTGATTACAGTATTTCCTTTACTTCGTACAAGGAAGTAAAAAGTTGACAACAGCAGCTATAAATGCTAGCATTAACGAAACATTTTCGACATAAGTGACGTCTCATGCAATTGTGTGCTTTCGTCAACGTCAGAATATGACATTATATAATAATAATATGTTTATTGTTTTGCAATACTATTTTTGTTTCATATTTTATAAAACTTACAAATTTTTGATTAACAAACTCTACTATTTGAAAGCGAGCAGTGGCAGCACGTTTCGAAATAAAGCACATTTTTATCTTCAGCGCGCGAGACTGTTGCCACTCGGAAAAATGAACTGGAAAATTAGCGGTTTCAGAAATCTCGGCTGATTAAAGTCGTACGAAGATGGAAAAGGTCGAAATGGCTTTCCACGAATTTTTAGAATCCAGGGGGTACCTCTATCGAAACTCAACCCCCCACCGTTCCAGAGGAGATAATGCCACAAACAAACAAACAGAGGAGCGCAGATTTTAATAGTATAGATTAATTAATTTTTCTAAACTATGCCTAGTGTCCTTTCAAAGTGGTCTCAGTTCATATATAATTCGAAGGGGACGTAAAACAGATTAAATTAAAGCAAAACATAATAAATTCTCTCATAAAAGACTGTTTCTGGAAGTGCCATATAGTTATGAGAACATTAAATACACACGTCAGAATAGTAAGTTACTCTTTAAAAAGACTATTTGCACAGAAGACGAAAACCGTATTAAATTATAAGTTATCACCTTACAGACGGTTTAGTTTATTTTTATTAGCGTCAGAGGGGCTACTATTCTCAGTACTCGCTTTTACATTTATATCATTTTTGTATCCGCACCACTTTTCAAATAAGTGGATGCTGTCACCAGATGTTACCTATATATATTATTTTTTAAAAAGTAATATGGTGAATATTAAAAAAAATATGCTGAAACTTAAAACTTTTTTTTAGATTTTGTTGTTTAATTTTACTCTGCCTAGGTGCGAAGAAAGTGATGCCTAGTAATAAAGTTTAATAAATAAATAAATAAGAATTCTGAAAGTGCTCAGGTTTTAACGCTCGCGCAAAAGGACTGCTTTAAAGTTTAAAAAGGCTTTATCAGTAGAAATTATCGAAAGAAATGGCCTAGGTGGAACAGCGAATTATTTTATAGGATATTAGATAAATCTGTATTTAGATTAACATGGGAAAGTTATATATCTTCTGCATACTAGATTAACATGGGAATGCTATATATCTTCTGCATATTTAAAATGTGAAATATTCTGTGAAATGTAATGTAAAATATGAAGTGTAATGTAAAATGTTCTATGTAAAATAATTCTATGACAGTTGTTTAGTTGCATGTATCGTGAAGTGAATGCATTTTTGCTTGAATCAATCATATTTAAAAGAAAAAAAAATCTAAAGAGCTGCATAATTTTAAATAGCTTAGTTTGTTACCAATAACAAGCAGATTAATTTCAGTGCATTTACAGTGGACGACATTTAAAGTAAATTAGCACTAAAGCCTTTTTCGAGATTAATAGCCTTATCGCGCTTAAAAAAAAATCTGAAAGGTTTCACATTTTAACGGTTTCCCCAGAAGGTTTGTTATGCTCTCCATGAGCCGCATTATACCATACCAGTCTGCTTTTGTACTCACTCCTATTGATGTTTTTCCTTTTAGTTCAAAGGGGCTTCGTCCCTGAGGGACTATTGTTTTCGATTTGCAATTTTGCGTCGAAACACTATAAATGGCTGTATCACATTTCAGACTGTTGCCACCAAATATTATGGCCCTGTATTATATTTGAAGAAATTAAATAATGAAGAATCTGCATAAATGTATGTATGTTTCTCGCATTGTGATAAATCAACGGTACCTAGAGGCATCCAATTTTGAATAACGTAATCCTACTGCAAAATATGGGCATGTGGAAGACCAAATTTGAAATATGGAATTTGCTTTATTATCGATGTCACATTTTGTAAAACTTTAACGAATTTTGATTAACAAACTCAAGGATTTCAAAGCGACAAATGGCAACGTTGTACAGATAGAACATTTTTTATTTCCAGCGCGTGAGACTGCGTATCGGAAATTCTAAAGATATGCTAATTTAAAATTATTCTGCAATATTGCTCTTGAACTGAATTTTACGGTTTCAGTGCGAAGAACATGATATTTAGTAAAGAAAGGTAACACACAAAATGTAAAAAAAAACGCTCCTTTAGACGTAATTTAAAAGCTGAAACCTTTCAGATTTACTTTTTTGGTCTTTCTAGTTTTATTATTAACCACCAAATATTATCGTCCTGTATTATATTTAAAGATATTAGATAATGAAGGATCTGCATAAATGTATGCATGTTTCTCGCATTGTGATAAAACAACGATACCTAGAGCCATCCAATTTGAGTAACGTAATCTTCCACTGAATATGGGCATCTGGAAACCCAAATTTAGAATTTAAAATTTGTTTCATAATCAATTTCGTATTTTGTTACACTTTAACGAATTTTTGATTAACACACTCAACAATTTTAAAGCGAGCAACGATAACACTGTGCGGAAAAAAATATCTCCAGCGCGCGAGACTGTGTTTCGAAAATTCTAAAGGTATGCTCATTTTAAAAGTATTTTGCGACATTGTTGTTCAATTGAATTTTGTAGTGTAAGTGCGAAGAACATGATATTTAATAAAGAAAGGTAACACAAAACGCTAAGAAAAACGCTCCTTTGGGTGTAATGTAAAATCTGAAAGTTTTCAGATATTTTAAAAATTATTATTGTTATTATTAATTGTAGGTTAAAACATCTTTGTTATAAATATTATAGTTGTAGAGATGTGTAGTGTTAGGATAACAAAAATACTGATCTCATATTTACTTTTACCGCTAGCTTCATATTTGCACCTTTTCCCATACATCGGCTTATTTAATGTTTGTAAGCTAATGCACCATAACTGTTGATTCATTATTCGTCGTTTCACCATATTTGCAGTTTGCTGTAATCTTACAAATCTAGGAAATTTCAAGATCTAAATGATTCATAACTGAAAAAACAAATTTCAAGTGAAAGCGGATGAAACAAAAATGTCCGAACAAGCTTTTTATTATTTTCAAAGGTTTACTTCCTGGAATTACCTCATGTTTTTGCGGTTTTTTATTTTCGGTAATCAAATCATTTCTTAGAAATTTATCAGAATATTTAATTTTACGAACTTTCAAAGTTATATGACGGCAATTTCTGATGTAATTTGAATGACCAAATTTTATTTTTAAATTTGCAGTTGCTTCGAAAGAACCAAAATGGGATGGATCATCGAACAAAGTTTTGGACAATACGTTTTAAATAAAAACTGAGGATAAAGGTAAGTTTTGGACATGTAAAACTTTATTTTTCATTCAGTTATTTTTACCCATAAATATTTAATTGATGTAATATATTTTTATGGGGAAGTTAATTTCAAATCATGAAACTAGAATTTATCGAAGAAAAATATACTCTTCACTTGTATTTTCAATTATGTTAAATGTATTACATATGTCATGTAATTTAAGTGTTATTTATGCTTATAGATTCGTTTTCTCTTCTTTGCAGTTGAATAAGTCATAGAATTAACTTAAATATTTAAATTCTTATACTTAACGTTAACTGGGAGACACTTAGCTAAATTAATTAACCAGATCCAAAAGACGCAGAAGTTCGAAACTAGTAAAAAATTCAAACTTTCCCCAAAATATGTCAAAAATTCAAACAGTGGAAGAAATAAACAAATGTGAGTGAATTAATGACGGGGGACGTGTGGGTACCATTCTTCTACCATTAAAGAAATGTGGAAAACAGTAGCCACAAAAATAGCAAAAAATATAGAAGTACTGATATAGGAACATTGAGTCGTAGAAAGGCAGAAATACTGATGGCGCAAAAGTATTGTTACGAAAGTATTGTTACGCAAAAGTATTGTTACGAATACTTGTCCTTACACAGTCCTAAACAGGCTGAACGAAGTCGTGTTTCGGATCCGTAAACCATCTAACTCTAAGCCTAACGTCGTTCATTAAGACAGGTTAGCTCCTTACTATGGGCATAGTACGTAGTGTATATAATAAAAATACAAGACCATTTTGTTTCTAAATTTGTAAATTTGTGCAGTCATTTATTGATTTGTATTTGATTTATTTTAAGTTACTTATTGCAATTATTGTTTATGTTGTTTGTAATTGTAATGTTAAATATTGCATTAGTGCTTTAATTGTAAGTATGCGTCCCTGTCCAGCCATTGTACTGCTCGGGACGTGCAGTGCTTGGGAAGGGGGTAGTGTTACGAATTTGACATTTAATTAGATATTTTTAATAGAATTATAATTAAAACTATTTTATTTCTCCATGCAATGCAGCGCGTGACGAATTTTAAGAGAAAGCTACGCCGGATAATTAAAAATACAAGAGCACGTGCATTTAACATTTAATAAATAACTGTCTCTTTTAATTTACATTTAATTCAAATAACTATAATTGATTGCTATGTTAGCTGTAACCGTAATTCCACTCTTTTTGCTTTCCAGAAATTATTAGAACTTTTGCACGCGCCGATGTAAAAAGCTATAAAAGCCGGAGAGAACGTCTCAGCTCAGTTGTTTAGATAACTGTTTGTTGATTGTAGCGGTTTCGCGATGAGATCGGATTAGCTTTCTCTGCGCTTTGGATTGCGTTCTATTTAACGTTTTAGTTGTTGTTCTATTTAACGTTTGTTTAGTTGTAACGTTTAGCTACTGGTTAAGTTGTGTGATATTGTACGAATATCTTTGAGGAAAATTCCAGCGTTTTGTTACTGTTACATTTATTGTGATAAGAATAAATTTTTATTAATTTTTTATCGGACTTGTGAGTAGATTCATATTGAAGAGAAATAATTATATGATTGTGTAGAATGCTAAACTGTTAAATCCGTAATGATTAGGAAACCCGGCAGTCGATGAGAATAAATTTCGTTTTTACTTCACTGGACATTTTTGGCTGCAATTTACTTATCACTTTAATCGTGGCTTTTCCCAGAATATTGCTGCGTTTTTCTTCTGACAGCAGTTGTTACGTTATTTTCTTCCTTCACGTTCGTACGGGGTTCGAGTAGATTTGGAGTGAATAACGACGACACTTGATGAAGTATCAAAACACACTTTATTTAGCCAGTACTAATCAGGACAGCTCCAAAAACACGTTACAATCGTCGAAGAACTACTATAAACACGCTGACACGATCAGTGGCACAGTCTTCACACTGTCAGGTAATAACGGTGGAGACAGCTTCACTGCAAAGCACCAGAGTACAGCTCCCGACTTTGCTTGGTCGTTTTCGGAACTCCACGTACTCTCGAGACTCTCCACGCGATGCACTCGCCGATACACAAGAGTATAGCTCTCGACGATGCACTAATTCGCGATACATTAAAACTGTCAGCTCGCTAGACGAGGCACACACTCGATACTAACTAACTGTCCGCGTACCAGCAGGGTTTACATAGCTTTTGGCTGGTGTTCGAGAACATTCTGGACTAAACCGGTAAGAATTCGTTCCAGAAGGTTCTCCATCCGTCCATGGCATACCGCCAATTTTGTCGCCAAATGGGCGATTTCTCGCCAAATATGGCAACTTTGCCTTCCCTTGGCATTTTATGACTGCTTTGCGGGGAAGCCATCTTACCGCGCCTGTACATTTCGTAGCAATATTTATCAAAATATTGTGATATGAAGAAGGTAGGGCGGTAGCCTCATAGCGACAACAGAGGCAGAAGCGAAAGTTGCTTAATTATCTATTATGCAAGCTCCCGAGAAGTAGGTTTTTGTTTAGGTTGTTTATTAAGAGAAAAGTTTCAGTTCTCTAAATTTTGAGTTATATATATATGCATACACCGTATTCCTTGCTTATTCCCTCTCCCATTTATTTTTCACCCTACCTTTTTAGCGTCAGATCATGAAAGTTAAAAAAAATATTGGCGTAATTTCTCCTTCCTCAGTGCTTTCATAGACCAAGCCCTCCTAAATTTTAAAATTGATTCGCTCACGTAGTGATTGTCTTCGCCTTATAAACAAACACAAACCCTCGAAAATTACTTGTAAAAGTTAGGTTGAAACTCCGAGCCTGTGGCTTCTAAACGCTTGCCTATGGAGGTTAGAACGGATCTATTCTAATATAAGGACCGACCCATCACTGCGAAGTAAACAGGAACTAACATTCAGTCTACGATTTCGCTGAGTCAGCTGCACATTCATATTCTCTATTTACTTACGCATGTTTCGGGGCCTCAGGAATAGAACAGATAGCATTAAGAACGGGCGACATTCAAATTACAGGGAAGTGGAAATGAAGATATCTTATTAGATATTGTGATGTTAAGATTACTAGGTAATCTTATTGAAATGTATAATTAAACAAATAACATCTTATCCATGGCTACTCTTCTTTTGTTATATTCTTACTGTAACCTCCTCCTTCAGAAATTAAATTATTCGCATAATTTTCCTTTCTCGATTTTCGGGCAGTTAAATTTGTAAAAAAAGGGGAAAATACACGAGGAAATACTCTACGTATACGTACATATAACTAGGCTTCCCCCAGCGGCTGAATCGTAAAATCGCTAACACTGATAGTTCAGCCGCGATTCAAATCCCGACGAAGGGGATGGAATCTTATGCGTTTTCATGGTTTTTTGTATGAGTAATTCGAATAGCAGCCAGTTTTTTTTTTTTTTTTTGAAAGATTCTTCATGAAGACATTCCTTCTCTCAGACAGAGAGCCCTCATATTCGTTGATCTAATCTAAAATAATCTACTCTGATTTCTCTCTCTGTTCCTTTCTCTCTCAAGATATCTGACGATATATATATAATATTTTAATGTTTCTATTTTATACAATTACCTCATTAAAAACCAATAAAATAAAACATATTTTAAATATTTATAATGTAAAAAGATATTAGCTGTAAATTTGTTTTATATATAATGAGCATTAAATTTACTAGTTCATTAATAAAGCTTAAATTCTAAAATAAGTAGAAAACTAAATCCAGTAACAAAATAAGATTAACGAAATAAGATTGATTCTGAATTATTCAAAAGATGTTCTTAATCAAGAGGATAGCCTTAACTTAAAAAAAAAAAAAAAAAAAAAAAAAAAAATTGGAACTATTTTTCTGTCATTTTACCATATAAAAATAAAAATAACTGGAAATTTTTAACTTACATATATAAATCATTATTAATTAATTACATTTTATCTGATAAATGACATCTCTGAAATTTCCTTATTTTTCTTATATATCTGCATACGGTGAAGTCTATCGTGTAGACCAGGGTTTCTTAAACTTTTTTCAGTCGCGACTCCCTTTTATCACTGAGAATTTTTTGCGACCCCCCAGGACCCCATAGTATTTACAAAAATTTTGTGGGACCCCATAAGTATTGCGCAAATTTCCAAGCGTGAGTGAAACTCAATTTTTTCACTTGTACTGTAATATACTATTGCAGGTTTAGGTCATTAACTTTAATTTTTAAATATAACACATAGAACAATGTGAAAATTTTAAATAAGTAACAGACGAAATGACAGCGTCACGTGCAAAGCAAGGGAAATGAATGTTTATATTATAAAAAGAATGCGTCAAAATATTTTCGTTTTTTTTCTTTGTCTTGTAGGGTTTATATTTATTTTAACTAACATTTATTTTAAGTTTAAACTATCTTTCCTGTCAAGCCTTACTTTCCCCTGGAACTGCCAATGCCAGAGTATGTAAATTTTAGTAGAACGCGCAAGGATTCAAATTATCAGCGGAAGTATTCTGAGTTAAATAGAAAGGAAACGAGTTCGAGGTGTGCTGTTCTTACTTCTCGAGCGCGGAGGTAGTAGCCAGAAATTGAAGAACCCCGCGTTTCGGCCTGTGTGCTTGCCTGGAAGAATTGTTAATCGTTCAACGTGATATTCACGTTTGCTGAATTTGCAGCGGTATTGTAAAACGCGGTGAGGTTGTTACTTTTAGAGAGCCTCGTAGTTAGAGTCTTGTCATTAGTTTCTTTTCAGGTTCTTATTTTTATTTTACCGCCGAGTTGGCGTAGTTTGTGAGTGTCAAGAGCACGCACTTGTAATTTATTACGTTGAATAAAAAGGGACTTAAACCCTTAACAAGACTCTGTCATTTATCCAGTTTCAACAGTCACCTCTTGGTTGCGTGCAAGTTGGAGGCGCGCAACGTTACAAAGTTAAAGGAATTCAATCTAGAGGTATTAACTTAATTGGCGAGAAAAAAAAAAAGGTACGTTACATTGAAAAAAGTGTGTGTCTGTTGCACGTGTAAGGGAGTTTTATGACGTTAGAAAGTAAATAATTTCTCAACATTCACAATAATAATAATAGCATAAAACATCTACATTTAAAAGAGGTGTAGATGTTGTTATTCTCCTATACCTGCTATCAGAACATCATCAGACAAATATAAAATTCTAGAATAGACTTACAAGTAATCTGTTCAACAATTCTTTACGGTTACAGTGTTAGTCTGGCTTAGTGTTTTCTCCAAATTTTTGAGTGGTAATGACAGATCTGAGCTTGAATTAATTTTGAGACTTATTAAGAATAAGAATATAGGCATAAAGCAAAAAATGCCATTAGTGATTGCCAACAGGAAAATATGAAAAATAGTTGCCATTACCGAGATATGGAAAAAAAAAAGAGAAAGATTCTCCCGAAAACAGGAGTTTCCCGAAGGTTTTCACGCTACTCAGCGGCGCTATTTCAAGGAACTCTAAGCTGACTTGAATTCACTTTATACTAAATGATTCAGGCTACTGAACTATTTATAACGATTCTATTATAATTATATGAATTAGATATTTTAAATTTTATATTCTACGACTAATTTCATTTTATAATTTTCTTACTCTTTTAGACCGACGAAATTAAAGGGAAGAATAAAGCTTTTATTTATGAAAGTACTTTTAAATACAAAGGAAATAAAATTAACAATCAATGTAAGTATAATTAATTATGCGTGCATTAATTATCTACTTTATTTATTATAAATGCGTACCTAAACTTAGTAATGAGCCATATATTGATGTAACAAAATTGAATACAAATATTAAAGGAATAAACATTGATTGGAAGAAATTCTGCAAATGTTTACAGTTGTTGTTGCTACAAATCTCACTTGTCTGACAAAGCTCAGCACAAGCCCACGGACATTCATCGTGGCAAGGAGTCCAATACGCCTGTCACAGACAACAGCCTTTAGCATATATAGGTGACAGTCCGACTAGTTCAGTTCCGCTCCCAATTTTGAGAGAGAGCACCCCGGAGGGACGGGTCCAAAGGTCCCTACCACTCTTGCCCTAAAACTAACCTCTCAGGAGAACTTCAACTTCTTAACTTCAATTTACTACTTCCGGCCAGAACGTAGTTTTAAAATCACTCTGAATACATAATGAGGAAGAGCGGTATTTAACCGCGAAGTTCTACTTGCTGAGTTAGAGAGAGCTACCAGATTTAGCTCTCTCTAAATCTAGATAGTACGCGTCCGCCTTTTTAGGCTGCTCTCTCTTAAGCTATTATTTCGCCCGGCCGTACTTTAGGCCCTTAATAGCTTCGCAGGATATTAAACGTTAAGGGGCCAACTCCGTTAGAATCTTGATAGCTTCGGCTATATCTCTTTAGTTTAGATTAGTTTAATTCTTAGTTTCTTAAGTTCAAGCCCAAGTGGCGGCTTTACTGTATTTCTCCAAGACGGAGTTTGTTAAATCTTAGTTGAAATAATAAAGGAATAGTTAACCTTTCGTATTTGTTGTTTCCTGCACACGAACTCAAGCGATTATTCGCTAACTAGTCCTTAGGATTCTTCACGCCAACGGTAACATAGCATTTGCAAAGTGAGGAACCCTACAATGTTCATCAGAATGCTGATACTTAATAAACATATTGATGAATATATCATGTTTCCTGGAGGGTATGATATATAGTGCTGATTATAAGGATTTCAACCCCTATTTAAAAGACCCTCTCGAAATTTGATACTAAATTTTAGTTCAGTTTAGTATTAAAAGCTTAATAAAGCCCCCCCCCCAAAAAAAAAAGAAATAGTTATAAAAGCAGACTAATTTTTAGGTATTGTTTTGCACACCAAACATAAAAAAATATCAAATGACGTGAAAAAATAATACAAGGTTCAGGTGGGAACCATTTCCTTCTGTGAAAAGTATCGAATGAGATTGAAAAAAATTAAAATAAAATAATACATATTTTATAAAGGATTCAGACGGGACTGAAAAATTCCCGTTCTGAAAAGTATTAAATGACACCAAAAAACTAAAATGATACACATTCTGTACAGGTTCAAGCGGATCCCTGTTCTGAAAAATATCAAGTGAGACTAAAAAAATTGAAAGTAATACATATTTTGTAAACGAATCAGGAGGCTAACTATTTACAAATATATTGAAAGTATATAAAATTAAAGATTTTCTAATATATAATCAAAAATTTAAACCTCCAAAACGGAATTACAAATCAACCCCGTTATATTTAAGTAATGTAGTGTATTTTTATCACAAACTCCCTCCTGCTAGGAGGGATATAAATTAAAGACTTTTTTTTTTTTTTTTTTTTTTTTTTTTTTTTTTTTTTTTTGTGTGTGTGTGTGTGTGTGTGTGTTTCAAAATCAGTTTCTTCCAGAAAATTATATTTAGCATCGTTTAGATGTTTTAGACTTTTCCTCTAATAGCATCATTTTTTTATAAATCTTATTGATTCGTTTATTTGATGAAAGCAAACATAAATTAATCTTATAATTTCATAATAATTATAATCTTTTTAGTGTCATTTGATATTTATGTTTAATTTTAAAAATGCATTACATTATTTAAATTTAGCAGGGAGAGCCCCGTTTTGGGGGTTTTGAACACTTTCACTATATGCTTAAAAAATCTTTAATTTTATATAATTTCAGGGGTAAATGTGGTTCTTTTTGAAAATATGTATTATTAGCACAAAAAAGGCGTTAGTCTCGAATGAATGGGATACAAGTCTCAAATGCGTTGTATTAGTTATTTATTTTGTCGTAGAAACCCTAATTTTAATTGCAAATATTTTAAACTGCTTTTAACTGCGTTTGGTGTCTTAGATTTTTCTGCATTTTGTTATTTTTAATGAAGATGTTTTGAATTTTTATGTATTTTACCTTGCCGAGAAGTGAGAACTGAGTTAATTGAATGAGAAATGTACCTCTAATAAAATAAAAGGAAATACGTTTGAATGAAGTGCAGCAAAAAATGTGTATAATTTAAAAGGAAGTCTTGCTGTGTCCACATGAGTTTTTTTCTTTTTTAATTAAATCGATTAGAAAAGCTGTTAGAATACGGATAAATAAACTGCTTTAGGGTTTAATAGCATTGTATCGTTGCACAATACTTTCCGTGTTATTTAAATGAAAGTTAATATGGCATTTAAACGTAGGACGACAGTCTTTTTGCAGAAGGTAAAGAGGGAAATCTATTTAAATTTTATTTTTATTTTAATGAAAACCTACTTAAAACTGTGCAGTGTAATACGTTAATTCAAAACCTCTGAAAGGTTCATCTCTTACAATACCTTTGTATAAAAATTACGATTTTACAGGTCCGTTAGGAGGTTACTATTCTCTCTTTCTCTCTCTTTTTTTTTTTTTTTTTTTTTTTTTTTTTTTGATTATCTGCGAAAATCTGTGCATTAAATAGAAAAGGTAAATATCAGTTCAATGCAACAATTTTAACGTTATATGTAGGAAAAATATTCTTTTCGAGATTTACTTACTAATATCAATTTCATGTGACACAAGCTGCTAAAAATACTTGATATGAAATACAAACATATTCTAGCTAGGAAAACAGCCGCGTTAAATTATGACTGAATCTGTCAGTAATGGCAAATCCTAATTAATATCTCGCTAAGATTTAGAAAACAGTCATAATATAATAATTTTGAACTATTTCATTTTTTTTCAAGATTAAAACATTAAGTATATGAATTAAAATTGATACTCTTTTAAAAATTCTAACCACCTAAAAATTAGTGCAGTATTATGTTTCCAGATCATGATTGGAATGTTATTATTTTGTTGTTGGTAATACAAATGCTTTTTCGCAAAAAACAAAATCATACAATTCTAGACCTACAAATTCTGCTCGATTTTTCAGTAATCTGAACCCGCCACTTACATGGTAAAATCAGCTACTTAAAAGTCTAAACTTCTAGGAACCGAAGCAAATAGCATATTTCACAGGATATTTTTCTTTCTAGCTTTTACAACCAGTCTGAAAATTTTAAACCCTCGCAACCTACCTGCAAAGGTCACGCCGAATAGTTTCCTTCTAACTATTGAATTTTATCGCAGCCTAATACAAGAATCAACTCATAGAGAAGTAAACACGAAATGACATTCAATCTATGATTTCACGGCTGGGTCGGCTGCGCATTCTCTAATTATTTATGAGTGATCTGATTTTTAGTGTCAGAGACAACAGTAAGGACAGGTGAGATTCAAGTCACGAGAAACTAAAAATGAATGTATGTTATAAGATACCGTAATGTTGATATTAAAAAGCATTCTTATTGAAATGCATGTTTCTTTTAAAGAAATAATTGCTGTAATAGTTACTTGTAGTTTATCTATGACTACTTTTCGTTTGTTAATTAAAGCACGTCTGGCTGGTAATCGGGAGGTCTTACTATAACCGCGTTCTTCGGAAATTAAGTTATTAGCATAATTTTCCACTCTTAATTTTCGAACAATAAAATTACTAAAAAAGGGAGAAAACATGAGAAAATATGGTGTAGAATAATCAAAAGAAAAATCGCCGTTTTTTAACGCATCCCCTCCCACTGTAAAACACAGATTGACTAAGGGCTGATTATTTAATGGCACAAAATGTTACTGGTACCTATCAAAAGCCTTTTATAGTTAATCCAATCAATTTACTGTGGACCGCGTTTATCTAGTGGTTCAATAAAGCGGTAATGATTGAAATTTTGCCCGATCTATCCCCTATTGCCCGTATCTAGTTCTATTTCTCGGTTCTTGTGTCTGTCCTTACTGTTTCTAAAACTCTTTGTCCAGACTGGAGCTAAAATTGATAGAATTTTCTAATTTAAGAATAACAAATAGCAATTCCCTAGAACAGAATTTTCCTAAGTATTTAAATTGGGGACCACCTTTATAAATAATATTGATCTGTGGAACATTTTATTGCGGACTTACCTTCGGAAGCAATTGCTTTAGCATATACTATTACTGCTATACTTGTATCTTTTAAAATACAGTTTATTAAAACTCATGTAATTTTATACTGCTATAAAGTGATAAAGTTAATAGAAGAAATTTTACTTTCATTTTTAATAATTCAAGGCTTTTAGAGTTTCGGTAATCGTTATCTTATTAAATTAAATTAAAAAAAATTCTGAAAGGTTTGAGATTTTAACGGTGGCGCTTGAAGGATTTGTTAAGGTTTTTTACGGTCTCGCTGAGAGCGCAGTCTACTGCTCTACTGTTACACTCAATCCTATTAGCTTTATTGTTAAAAATAATTTTCTTCGCACTTAAGCCATACACGATTGAACGGGAAAATTACAAAAAAATTTGAAAGAAGTATAGCAACATATTTTTAGAATTCCCGATGCAGGCGTTATATGCTGGCATACATTTTTCTCCCTTTTTTTTTCTAGTCATATCTGAGGTCATCCTATCAAACGTTCAGTTTTCTTACTAAGATGGCTTTATAAAACGTTTTTGGTCTTTTATTATTACTGTTTTGTGCGTTTACTTTAGTTACTAAATATCACGTTCTTGGCGATTACGCCACATAAAATTCGATTCAACAGCAAATTTGCGAAATATTTAAAAACAGCGTGTCTTTAGAATTTCCAAGACACAGTCTCGCGCGTTGGAGATAAAAAGGATTTTTTTAAAAACAGTTAAAACTGTTCATGAAATCTTTGAGTTTGT